GCTGTATTTTGGTATTAACAAATGGTATTCATGAATTCAACTCACTGACTCTTCTGTAACCTCATACATCAAGAACTCAGCATGGAGAACGGATGATTCTCCACAGTAGCAAACAGTGGCATCAGATTTATGCTGTTTCATGTGAGAAAATTCAATAGGACTTCGTATTTTATCTTGGTACCTTCTTCGCTAAAAGAAGGAGTAAATATAGATTATTTCAATCTTCATAATGTACTTTATGAGTGTACGATTTTAGCTTTACAGCAACTAAAGTTGTCTCAGAAGTGGGTGGCACTTCTGCTAAGGGACATTAATTTTATCATCTACCAGTCTGTGTGGTGGACCAAGTAGAGTCATTTACCAAAGGTTATGAGCTGCAGTCGCTGATCCGAACAGATGATAAGTCATACCAATGAGCTGCTTTATCCCCCGATATCCCATTTTTATATTCAAGGATTTTCTGTCTGCTTCATTTTTTTTTAAGTCTGTTCTCTTTCTTTCATCTCTGAAATCCCTCTAATTCACACATCCGGTGCTTGATAAAGAAGAGCTGAGCAGCATGCAACCGTCAGCGGGATGTTGTACAATTCGCCATTTTCAGCGGATCATGGCTTCAGCTATACCATATCATGCTATGGTGCTTTGGAAACGAGACAGTGGCTCTCGACGGGGGCTTTCAGAACAATTATCTGAACACCACAGTCATGGGACGATGATGCTGTTGTCCGGTGGCCTGCGCTTTCTCGTCTGTCTAAAAGGCAAATGCTGCTGATGGAGCATGTTTTCTCTGCATCAGCTTTGCCCTTGTTATAAGCGGAGCTGAATGCCAGCCTTCTTTGTCATAGCATGTCCTTGTGTTTGGAGCCCAGTAGCCGCAAAAACAGGTATTGTGCGACAGTGAAGGTGGGAGGCGGGGATCTGGAGTTGTTTGGCAAAATAGAGAGAGCGTGGATGGAGTTTTGGAAACGAGAGGGGGTGGAGGGAAATGTGTAAAAGGATGTCAATTCCTGCCAGATTCATCATTTATTTTTATGGCAGCCAGACTTGAATTTTCTCCCAGGATTCACAATCTGTTCATGGAAAGTTGGACAGACCCATCTCAGAAGTTAAGCCAGTGAAGAGCAGAGAAGGTTTTCTCCAGAATGTCCATCAATTATCAGGGCAACCCACGTTGTTGAGTTTGACATGGCTTTTTGAAAACATGCACACCAAAGTGACGCCAAGTTTAGTGACCTCTGGTGTAACCTGGAGTCATTACCACCAATTTGAATAACAATCTTATTTACTCTTATCCTGAGCTTACCCTTATCTGGTTCTAGGTAAGGAGAGCCTGCAAAAAAGAGTGCTGCAAGAAAGTGCCTGATACAGAGAAACTTCCTGCCACATAACTTATTCATTGCATTCAGGTGAAAGCCAGTGAGTTACACACCAACCCCTTTGGTTCTGCAATCCCGGCTTCTCCCTCTAAAAACAATAAAAATCTCTGTAGGTGCAAAGGTAGCAGACTGGTTAAACTGGTGTAAATTTCCTCTCTTTTGCAAATGCAAATGGTCGTACTAGACTGTGATATTTCTCTATGTCATTCTGTGAGTTGAGATGGCCAACTTGGCTGCTGCTGTCGTTGAGTTTGAGATAAAACTTTAAAATGAAAATTGTAAAACGCTTTTGGAATATGTCAATAAAGTATCTGCCACATCTTTGTCCATAGACCTCACCCTCACCTGCAGGGGGTAAGCCTGAGTGTGCAACACTTATGGTAAGCTAACTTTGAATGCTTTCCTGAACATATCTGCATTGACTAGAACAAATCAGCCCAAATTGAAGTTCAACTGGCTGAAGAAATATGGAAGCTCAAGTACAAAACCCTGAAAGTGAATATTAAAGAAGTCGCTAAAGTGCACAAATGAGATGATATGAAAATCCTCCCAAAACTTGATAAACTGGGAGTGCCATTCCCAAAACACGTATAAACATTAAGAAATATGCTTTTGGAGTTCTGTCCATCTTTGTCTCAACAAACTCATGAAGCAAGTTTCCTCGAACACGAACTTCATAAGGTCTCACAAACGAATGAAAGCCTACCGTCCCGTGGGAAAATCAGTCTCATCTTACAACCCTGACATTGGCAATTTGATTTGGTGCCATGTGATTGTGTCATTCACTGTAAGTGTGTGAAAGATAAATTGAAGGCGTATCTAACGAAGTGACGAATGAGTGTTTTATCCCCACGTCCTCAAGCAAACTTGAATTCTTTTTTTTTTTTTTCAAATCGATTTTGTTTTTCTTCCCACCTTCAAAATTTAAGGCCTCATTTGACAGATTTTACGTGGGCTCTTCCCAGTTCGTGACCAGTATCTCACCAAGTGTATTTCTCAAAAACCAAGATGTTCTTGAAAAATATCAGGACTCAGCTTTAATGTTTTTTTTTTTTTTTTAATGTCGCTTTGTGAGCATTTCATCAAGAGTAATTTTGTTGTTGTTGTTGTTTGTGCGCCCCTGTTTGAGTTTGTACATGTAGGGGCAGGACTTCTGGCTTGAGCAAGAAGCAAACGTGGGTGAAAAGCGAGCTAATGTGTAAGAACAAAGTTCTGACTACATGCTTACAAATCAGCCTGCAGCCCAAGGGGGTCGAGCCTGTGGTTTTAATCTTCTGAGCAGAAGTTGTGATTAGGCGGCAGAGTCAGACTCATTTGTGTGTCAGTGGCATGACAAACCTTATGTGAGTGCAGGATGAATGCTCTGCGGTGAGCTGGAGTTCCCCTACATCAAGCTCTCAGTCTTTTCAGATCACTGTTTTTAGGCACAGCTGTTGGCTTGTGATCTGGACATGAAAGAGGAAGAGGGACGACACCTTAACGCCAGGACCAAAAGAGCGAGGAAGAAAAAAAAAAGTCATTAATTCAACCTATTCTGGGCGGCATACAGTCTTTTGATTATGAGAGACAACATTGCTGTCTCAGCATGCCCCGCACTTCAGGCTGCATCCCTGACACACCTGGCTGAGTCAGCTGAGTCAGGACATGTGTGACTGGAGTAATATGGGTGTGTGCATCGTCATTTGAGCGAGTTAGGGATGAATGTGGGATTAGAAGGATTTTCTCCTCCTCGCTTGCCTGCTCGTTCTTTGTCTTTCTCCCCCTGCGGACTGTTGTTGTGCTTCTCCTCCTTATGGTATAATAGCTTATGTTTTTCAAGGCTCTGCGAGCGGAAACAGGCCCTCCATTGTGGGTTTGTGTTTTCACAGCCCCGCATCTCACTGACCATGGGAAAACACCCTTTGTTCTCCACTTATGATTACTGAGTGGGTCCTGCTTATTTTGACTCTTCGCCGTGTCAAACATTTGCTTGTTTGCCATGTGAAATGTCAAAACTTGTAGTTTGACGTTTCATACCCACTTTAACAACTGACCACGTGAAATTATTCTCTACTTTCGACTCGTGGCTCTCACTCAAAACTGGCACTAATATCCTTCCTGCGCTGAATTACGGCGTCAATACGCAAGACTCATTGAGGATAGTTTCCTTCACACCATCTTAATAAGCAGTTGGGAAGACATATAACAGCATTAGTTCAGAGGTTTGAAGGCAGCGCAAACAGTGAACGACCACCAGCTGACCTAAAGAGACACATTCCTCATTTCTAGACGAAGAAAAGTGACAGCTAACATCCTGCATTGCCAAAATCAACACTCATGTCGGCTAGTTTGAAAAAACTTAAAGGTATGCTATAAGAATAGGTCTTTTTCCTGTTAAAAGTTTACATAAACTTTTTGGAATCTTCCTCAATGGAACAAAAATGTAAGACTTTATAGATGAGTTGATATCAGGACACTACAGGTGTACAGAGAGTTTTTCTGTACTGCTTCGACATTTTTCAGACCTGATTGTATCTGTTTTCAACTTTTTAAGAGCATATTTCCACATATAGCCATAAGGAATCACTCTGTCATTTCGGATCATATGACTTGATCCATTAAGATCATCATAACGGTCGTCTGGCATTAAAACCAAAATAAATATTAATAGCTTGAAACGCAATATCTTAAAGGAGCGGCATTATGTAAAATCGACAATCTGAGCTTTACATCATGTTGTGTTATTCCCTGTCAAAAACATACATGAAGTGTTGCTTTGATTCTTTCATGTATGTTTGAGAAATCCTTTAATCTCCCAAGGCAACCATTCAGCTGTGACAAACGCCTAGGAGGACCTAATGCCGCCTTTGACGACGAAGCTCCTCCTCGGAGTTGCAAGCTAAGTTTCCAACTCCACGACTCCACCAATCAGCTCCTTCAGACTAGCCAGCAGCAATTAGCAGACAGTTGGTGGAACTGCGTATCAGTTGAGCTCATTATGCAAGCTACTCCTCAACGCAGCGCTGGTAAAAACCTGGCTAGAGGGTTAATAAAGGAGCCATGTTGTGATGACTTCCTGAAAGCGGTGTTTCGGAAAGAGCCGGAGTTTTTAAAGATACAGAGGCATAATTTCAAGTCGTCAAATTACAAAGTCAAATTTCTTTTAAATCACATGACATATATATAGCATTTTTATAACAAACTATTTGATTATGCGACAAAATGTCACTATGTGGCTGGTAAAAACATAATACTATCCTAAGAAATTAATATGCAATTGAAATAAACTGAATGTGAAATTTTCTATTTCCTAACTGATTAAAAAAAATTCTACTGTAGAGAAAAACAAATGGATATGTAATGGTTAAACCACATGGTTACAAAACTGGATTGGAAAGCAACAAGGATGACTTGTCAACATAAAATGGAGAAATGGGCTGTAAACTGGTGAACTGACCCGGAGCCCAACTGAGCATTTAAAACGTGTGACATCACACAAATGCTGCGCTCCCGTGTCTCACACTGGAGACATAAAATGTTCTCCTCCTTGGCCTTTCTTTCAGACAGGAGCAGTTCATCGTGAGGAGAATCCTTGAGAGCTACCAGATTTGCAGCTCAACTAAAATCATTTAGTCCCCGTTCTTCTTCTTCTTCTTCTTCTTCTTCTTCTTCTTCTTCTTCGTGTGAGAGGAGGGTGTGTGCGGAAGAGCGGGAGAAGAGTGAAAGAGCGAACGATTGTGTATCTTTTCTATCTTTTTTTTTCTTACTGTTTATTCACTGGGTGTTTGTGTTACTTGTTTAATTGTAATTTTGTGTTAGTTTGTCACGTTTTAAGGGGGTTTTGTGGGTTCGGGTGTGGCCGGCAGGCCGGCGTCTTAGGACGCCATGGTGTCTGGTGGTGGGGCTTTCTCCACGCTGACACGGAAGAACGGGGTCAAGGTGGGCGCTGGTTCTCCGTGCAGCGTGGAGGAAGTTTGTTTGGCTGTCGGGGAGGTGGTTGGACATGGGTCTATTAGATCGGCAGCTCGCATGAACGGAGCTGTCGTATTGTTTGTTGAGAAGGTGGAGCAGGCTCAACGGTTGGTGGAGGTGGGCGTTTCTGTGAACGGCTTGTTTTTACAGGTGACGCCGCTAACATTACCCTCAACTAAGGTAACTTTATCAAATGTACCTCCGTTCATAAGCGACGAGTTTTTGATTAAAGAGCTGTCCCGACACGGTAAGGTGGTTTCACCGGTGAAAAAAGTACCCTCTGGGTGCAAATCACCGTTACTGAAACATGTTGTCTCCCATAGGAGACAACTGTTTATGATATTAAATCGGAGGGATGAGGAACTCAACCTTCGATTTCATGTTAGAGTAGATGATTTTGATTACATCTTGTTTGCTACGTCCTCTAGCATGAAGTGTTTTGGTTGTGGTCAGGAGGGGCACATTGTAAAAATGTGTCCCGACAGGGCCGGGCAGGCCCTGCCGAGTGCAGCAAAACGGCAGCCCTCTGCTGCTGAGCAGGTGGAGGACCCACCTGGTGAGGCTGGAGCAGTGGAGGATCCCGCAGCCGCGGCGGGAGAACCCGCGGTGGTGGCGGAGGAGCCCGCTGCTGAGGAGCAGGCGGAAGGTACTGTTGAGGTGTCAGGAGTGGAAAGTGTGGAAATGAGTGCAGATGTAGGAAAGGATGAGAGCACAGTGGTGTGTGGTGATGGGATTAATGGTGGTGGTGATGGGGTGAATGGTGGTGAGGGTGAAAGTGAAGTGAGGGAGAGAGATGGTGTGCAGGGAGAGCAGCAGGTGGAGGTGAGGGGCGATGAAGAGCATTTAGGGTGTGGGGATCAGGGAGGGAAAGGAGAGGTGCAGGTGGAGGAACAGAACGGTGCAGAGTTGGTTTTTGGAACTGGAGTGGCAGGAGAGACAGAGGAGGTGATGGAGCTGGAGGCTTCAGCCCCGTTAAAGAGGCGAAGCAAAAGGAGGAATGTGGTGGCTGCTGTTCAGGCCAGCAAGCAGGCTTGCAAGCTGGCTGCAGAGAGGAAGGAGGTGTCGGACAGCAGCGACAATGAGAGCTGGTTCTCTGACAGCAG